ATCCTCCATGAATACTTGTTGATACTGCACATTATGCGCTTCAGCGCCGGAAAAGTACGGTGCAGACGGGACCGATGTCATCTGCGGAGTGTTGTAAACATTTGGTGGTGAACCACGTGAATGCATTACTGATGGAGTTATCTGAATTGTAAGCATCTTGGCAAACTGAAGCAGAAGAAAAGAACTGGTGGAACTTTGTGCTATTGCGCACTTCATTTTCTATAAGCAAAAATCATTCTTTCCCTAGATCTGTCGCTTATCAATATCTTTTATGTCTAGTTGGCCAAAGTCTTCTGCCACTGCTTCAACGAGGTGATTTGCAAGAAGTACTCATAGAAGAACCATATAAAGTTACCACTTCAACGTGAAAGAGGAGAAAAGTGCAGGAGCTATGTGGAATGAATTGTTCATATATTATTATATAAAAAGGGAAATGAAGGAATTCAAAGGCTCCGCACCGGAGTTGGAGGTCCTTGTGGCTGCACATACACCGGATACTGAATACATGGTTGTGGCTGCTGTGGCGGCACTGGCGCCGCGACTACCGACATAGAAGAACTGGCAGCAGTGGCTGGAGGAGTTGCTGGTATCTTGGCGACAGATGGCATAGCAGCTTCACCATTCTGAGCAATTGCTTGAGCACGAGTAGGAGAGCTGTCTGGAGTGTTAGCTGAAAATGAAAATTTGCGTAGTACGGCAATTGAATATTAGATTGCATACGTGTTCCATTCGCTGCAGGATTTGCAGCCGGCTGCTCTACAGCAGCCTGAGTATTTGCCGGTGCTGCAACCGGGTAGATCATTGCCTGAGGGACAGGTGAACCAGGTGTGTAAACATAAGCCTAAGCAAGTTGACTTATACATATCAACAGAAGCCTAGAAAATACTTACTTGTGGTGCGTTAACCATAACAAATGGTGGCTGCGGAGGAAATGAATAGGTGTAACCATATGTAGGTGATTGTACCAATCCTGTTGGTGTTGCAATTGCATAATCTAAAATGCACATGAAGAATTTTTGCCATATTGAGTTTTAATAATTTGATTTCTCAAAAGCCCATCAGAAAAGCACTGCAACACCACAATGAACAGAAAATTACCAGTAGAATAGCGCTGTGACATCCTTCGAAGGGCAGGCCCAAGGTTCAACTTACGACCTTTGAACTCAAGTTTGTCTGGAGACTGAAAAGGCTAAGCTACATGATACAAATAATAGTTAATGCAATGAAAATTCAAAATTCTCGCGATGTCAGGCTTTAACGTGGCAATAACCCATAAAATCAAGGGGTCAAAGCCACAAGAACAATATAAACTGGACAAAATTCAATATAGATCGCATTTTACTTGAGGTACCACAAATGCAATCTACACCAAATCTTTCTGTTCATTCTGTATTATTGATGTTTGCCATCCCCCTAAACAAAACCCTACAATTTGACCAAATTCTCTCCAGGAAAAGGACATCATTAGGACGTATTTTCATAGCAATTTGCGAGATAAATTAGGGACTCATTCAAAATATTTCGGTTTCTCATCCGCTCTTTTATATCGCCTTAATTCACAATTCAAAACTTATTATCTATGACTTGAGGAAAAAGATAACAATATTGTATCCATTTGTTTCTTAAACCAGATGACTACACTTGTCACTTAAAGCCACCTTGATTTATGTGGATTTCATCTATAAAATTACTTTGGCGTAGTACAAAACCACTTCTTTTTTCTTGGTAAAGCTAGACAGCAATTTCATGTTTTCTCTAATATCTTATTCACCTAATTACTAAGAATTATTTTTTACAAGGAAAATAATAATCTCCACTAACACTCCAACAGCATAGACTTCCACAAACTACATTCCATATAATCAAAACCCTACCATTCCGCGAACTGTGTCCGCTTCATCGTCGGTATCGAATGTAATGAAACCATAACCTTTCGATACGCCATCAGCGCTTCTAATCACTTTCACTTCTTTGATGGTGAAAAATTGCTCAAAATGTTCTCTAAGCTCCAGCTCAGTTGTCTAAACCTTCTCTACAGTAAATTGCTTATGTTACCTAAAAGATCTAAACTTACACTAGCCGGAAAGCCGCCGACGAAGACTCTATGAGGTATCAGTTCGTAGGCAGGTGTTGGGATTACCGCAGTAGCACCAGTTGTATAGTAGATTCCAGTTGACATATCGTAAACGGGTGAAGATGTAAACGATGGGATCATCACTGTAACCTAAGCGTGAGAGCAGCTCAGTGCATTCCAGGAGTCGACAAACTCACCTTAGCTTAAGTCCTTGAACGTCAACACAAAGTAGAAAGGGCAGATTAATCAACGCCTTGCGTGTGACTGGCTGGCTGCTACGCTGAGCGAAGATTGTTCAACCAATAAAAACTGAGAATAACTGAAAAGAACGGCAAAAAAATTGATACGTATTCTTACTATGTAGCTTCAGTTAGTGTAACACATAAAGAAGAACAAAGAGAGAAAAGGATTTGAAGAACGGAAGAAGGATTGCCGAGGGCGACCGCACGCTAGGTAGGATGAGCTGCAAATGATCGCCAACTCGACTTTCACCTCCTACATTGACTTTTGACCTACAAAAGTCGATCGACACGTTGATCGACGCTGAACGTTTTGGGTTTCTGAAGCACATCCTGTCGACGTCATCTGAGGTGTACCACTTCAGAAGAGTATCGCAATTTCGGAATAGTTCACAGCACTAGTTTTGCCACAGGTGACGTCACTTTCCTAGAAAATTCTAGCACATAACGGCGAGTAGCTTAGGTCATTGCAGCGACTATGGTAAGGTCAGACTC